ACGGCTGAAAGGGCGAGCATGTTTGGTGTGAGAGGGATTCTAACCCGTGACCCTCAAATTGCGAGTCGAGTGTTTTAACCACCTGGCCATGCCGGGCCATTGTTTGTTGGTAAATAAACATTAAAATTACTTGAACTGTTATATCAACGCCGTGTGTAACTATGATAATTCTTTTGTAAAATATTCTTAAAAAATATCTTTACAGTTTTTGACTTAAAATACAGGTTATTTTTTAATCATATCAAGGCTATAAACTGTATATAAAATAAAGTGGCCTTTAATATGATACTCGATAACTAGCTTCTAGCATACGTCTGAGCTTTGTTGTATTTAAACTTTTAGTTTAGCCTGATGGTTAGGATATTTGACTATCAATCTTTGGATCGCGGAATCGAAACCCGTCGCCGAAGATGCTCTTACTTTCAACAGTTTGGATGTCATACTGTGAGGATCAATCCCACCATTCATTGGTAAATATTATCCCAAGATTTGGTGATGGGTGGTGTTGACTAACTGCTTTCCATCTAGTCTATGTCTTCAAAATTAGGGACGAATAACTTTTCGTGAAATTCAAGAAGCAAACAAACTTTTATTTTTTTTAAATGTTTTTAAATATCATACAAAAATTTCAACTATACGGATTTATCACCATGGCAAATATTGTCACAAAATGATTTTTTTTATGTTATAGTTTAAAGACGTTCTAAAGCTAGAGGAAGACGTTCCTCATGTTCGACAAGCAGCAAAAGTAAAGTAAGTAATTATGTTGGATCTTCTTGCCTCTTTCACTGTTTATCTTATGTAAAAAAAAAGATAAGACTTCTGCCCAATTCTTAAAACTATGCACAATCATTTTTTTATTTTATAAATTTGAAGTTAATCGGCACTTGTTTCTGAAGAACGATATCGCAAATGCGTATTAAATTACAGTTAGACTTAGGTATATATATATATACAACTATATTTGATGCAATAAATTAAAAATGTTGTTGAATAATGCATAAATTTAGACAGACCCTGAACAATTAATTAAACCTACGTACCTGATTTAGCCTGATAATTTTGTAAAGCTTGAGTAATTTTTACAAATTAGAAATTACTATTAGTTCACTCTAAAACAGCTATGCATAATTTTTACAAATTAGAAGTGACTATTAGTTCACTCTAAAACAGCTATGCATAATTTTTACAAATTAGAAGTGACTATTAGTTCACTCTAAAACAGCTATGCATAGTTTTAACAAATTAGAAGTGACTATTAGTTCACTCTAAAACAGCTATGCATAATTTTTACAAATTAGAAGTGACTATTAGTTCACTCTGAAACAGCTATGCATAATTTTTACAAATTAGAAGTGATTATTAGTTCACTCTAAAACAGCTATGCATATTTTTTATAAATTAGAAGTGACTATTAGTTCACTCTAAAACAGCTATAGACTATTTTACTCTCTTGAAATATGTTGCATCATCCACCCTCAAAGTGAAAATGTACAAATCTTACATAAACGAAGCTATTCAGTGTTTATTTTATT